ATGTCCAGTGTACGTAATCCACGTATACTATTGACTACTACTCAAAGATCTGCCACGTATGGAAATTTGGAAACAGATTCATTCCTTACACGTGGAAAGCACTGGTCTTTCTACAAAAGGAGAGGGAAAAAAAAAAAAAAAAAAAAAGAAGAAGAAGAAGAAGAAGAAGAAGAAGAACTGAAAAAAATAAAAAAAAAAAAAAAAAAAAAAGAACAAAAAAAAAAAAAAAAAAAAAAAAAGGCATGTGTCTCGTCCACGTGGTCGACATCTTGTCCACGTCGTCCGTGGTCCACCTGTGGTCCAAGCTGTCCCACTGGTGGTTGCAGATTTCGTACTAGTACCGTGTTCCCCCGAACACAACGCACCCTAAATTTGGCTGTATCAGACCGGAGAGCTAGCTTCTATACATTCATTATCAGGGTGCGTTGTGTTCGGGGGAAGACGGGTGGCCATGTCAATCGCAGGCGCATCGCGGTTCCAATCTGTTGTCCACGTGGTCCAACTCTGGTCCAGGTATGTCCCGCCTGGACAACAGCCGGGACCAGAGTTGAAAAGCGTCCGTGGATGTCCCCTGTTGTCCACGTGGTCCTACTCTGGTCCACGTGGTCCTACTCTGGTCCACGCGGTCCTGCTCTGGTCCACGTTGTCTGCGGTCCGAAGTCCGTGGTTGGTCGATTTCTGGTCCACTTGGCTGCATGTGTGCGCTACGTGGTCCACGTGTTGTCCTCGTGGTCCATTTTCGTTCCTGCTGATGTCCCACTCTGCTCGACGACTTCTGCGGTACAAGGTCCATCTGTGTTCCACGTGGTCGATAGCTGGTCCACGTCGTTGCATGTGGTCCATTTATTTGGTCCACAGTTGTTGTGTACGTACGTCGTTAAGCTATTTTCCAGCGGTTGTCCTTTTTTTTTTTTTTTCGCGTTGTCCAATTGTAATGCAATTATTTGACAATCTGAGGGGTCTTATTAAGTGGTGTCCTTTTTTTTTTTTTTTTTTTCGGGAAATGGCCGCTTTTTGGGCCCCTCGTCATTTTTTACTTTACTTATTTCTAACGGGAAAAAAAATACGGTTGATACGAACTAGTGCCTTCTGCGCACCTCTTTGTTAACCTTTTTTTTTTTTTTTTTTTTTTTCGTTTCCCCCCAAAGGGTGACGGCCTTGAGATATCATCATTGAGCTGACCGGCCCCAGGTCAATTCAGAAATATATATCTGGTTTTACTCATCAATCATGTTCCATCATCATCTGGATTCGAACGCGGGTCTGTATTTCAACAGTTCATTTGTGTACTACCCACTGAGCTAGGCTCTTGGGTCTCTTTGATAACTTTTGCTGGTATTGTGTTTTTGGTGTGGAAGAACTCCTTTTTTTTTTTTTTTTTTTTTTTGGGAATTTTTTGAAATAATACGATCGCTTGCTTGCCGAAATATCAATTTTTATGTCGGTCTACATGGGGATTTCTTTATACCGGTCCAATTTGTTGTGGATACGTAGTCAACGCCCTCGTCGTCGTAGCGGTGTCCATCGCAGGGTCCTCGTCGTCCACGTGGCCTTCGCCCACGTAGGACTTTCTCGCGAGTATGTGAATGTGGTAGTTTGCATGTTAGAGAGAGAGAGAGAGAGAGAATGTGAACGTGGTAGTTTGCATGTGTGTGCGTGCGTGTATGTGTGTGCGCGTGTGTGTGTGATGTGAACGTGGTAGTTTGCATGTGTGCGTGCGTGTATGTGTGTGTGTGTGTGTGTGTGTGTGTGTGTGTGTGTGTGAGAGGGAGAGAGAGAGAGAGAGAGAGAGAGAGAGAGAGAGAGAGAGAGAGAGAGA